AGTAGATTTGTTAATACTGGGTCTCTGGTTCCTACTACTCATGAGGTCACGGTTTCTGTGTCATTGTAATTGCTAGGTTTGAAAGGTGCGTTTCCAGTGTTAGTAATAATATTGGAAGGCTTCCTCTCTGCCTCCTCATGTCATGGTTGAAGGGACTGTGCTGACATACAGGGGAACTATGCAGAGGGGCAGCAGTTCCTTCACCAATAACCTTTCCAGAAATTCTATTACTTAGGCCAGTAATTAGGAGATTTAATGATAACTTTTCAGCTGGCGGAGCAGAGGGAGCACTGACTGAATGAGGCATAACCAAGGACGTCCTTCCATCTCTCAGTTGTAAGACTCCAAAAAGCTTTGCCTCACTGTGTCCCAAGGGTGGTTTCTTGGTTTCATTCACTTGAAAACCTGCTCATTGCTTAAATGCACAGAAGGAGTTGACCCTTTAGATAAAAATAAGGAAAATCTTGAGAGCTGGATGTTGTTGCCTGGGCTCAGATCTTTTGCCTGGCCCTTTTGGCTGTATTTACAGTAAGATGTTTCCTGATTGTGTGATTTCCTCCTATTTGCATCTACTGTGGCACAGACACGCATAAAAAAGATGTAAGGTAGAGCACAAATGTTGAATTCTGGCGTGTGAAAAGTTCAATGCTTTACACAGAGCCTTTTTTTTTTCCTCATTTCTAGCTGTAACAGAAAGCACCTGAGAATGGAATGAAAGGCATTAATAACCCCAGCCTTTGCCACTGCCTTCCCAGCATGCAGCAACTCTCAAAAGTGTAGAAGACATCTATTGGTCTATTTATATAGTGTAGCGTGGCAAAAAGAAAAGGTACGAGTTTATATTAGAGCTCAATTAGCTCAAAGTCATTTAACAGCACCCCACTGTTTGCTAGCAGTGCTTTGCTGAGTAGAAAGAAAGTTGATGACTGGTCTAAATGCCATTCCTTGGGCTGGTCTGGTTATCCAAGGCAGTGCAGTGGGAGAATTCAATCACAACTTCATTGCATTCCCAGTTGATAAAAAGTGCAGAGCTTGGAAGAGTGTCTTGGATGGACCAAGGAGGGCTGTAGTAAGCCCCTTGCCATTACTCAAGAGATCAAGGGATACTTTAATGTCCACTCCTTCTGAAAGCCTCTTGGCTCAGCAAGACATACAGCCATACATGCAAATGTTAGCCAGAACTAGAACACAGTACTTGCAAGCTCTGGTTTTGGTTGAGTCTTGGCTGGGTTGTTTCTGTTTACTACTGTATCCCAGTCTTGTCTTTTGAGATGGAATACTAACATCTATCAGTCTAGCCTGCTAAAATCTGGTGAGAGTAAAATTACAAAAGTAGCAATGACCTTGCTGCATCATCATCATCATTATTATTATTATCCTTTGCAGAGCTGCACTGGCTCCGATTAATTGCTTCCAGTTTACTTATGAAGAGAAATGCTGTGTCAGAATGGTTGTTGGCTAAAGAAATGTGCTGAGACACCTTATCAGAAAATCCTACTACTTATAGCCTTTTATAAAGATGGCAAGCAGTGCTCCTTCATTCTGTGCATAGCTATAAACTTAATGTCTAACCCCCACTGTCCATATGTCTGTTTCCCAAGTACTGTAAGGAATGTTGCCATTGGCACATACAAACAGATTTTCATTTCTGAAGCAGTGCATGTTTCTTAAAAAACCAGGTGTGTTTGGCAGCTAAGACTAATGCCTCTGTGGTCTGGAGGTAAAATTAGTTGCTCAGGGAGATGTGTTTGCATGCACTACAGCATGAAAACACAGAGGGTGACAGATGAAGCATTTGCATTAAAGTTGCTGAGAAGTGCTCTGGCTGCTGGGGGGAGTGGAAAAGCTTAAGATGATTGTTTTCTGCAAGATAATGGCTGCAATTTTGAAATAAACCCTATTCGTTTTCACCTCTTGAAATTAATACTTGACCTGGACTTGTTAGGCCACAGAGCTGCTGCAGCATTAAGCTATAGCTGGAGGAAAGCCAGAATCCAATTACATTTTCTGCATAATGGGTCATAATTTATGCTATGAAGAAGGCAGAGATGTTGCTGGGGAAACGGGCATTGGGCATGCTTGGATATGCATTGTGGAAGGCCGATTGTAAATGAACATGGAGAGGTATACTTTCCTTTCTCACTTGTTTAGTACCAATGTAATTCAAATCAGAAAATAAGTAGTCATTCTGGACTATAACAACACACGCCAGAAAGCTGGTTAGCTTTCATCTTGGCCATCTAACTTGCTTGGCTGTGATTGTTGATTCCCCTCTTACTGTACTAAACCATGATTGTTTTAATAAATTCAGCATCTTTGACTTTTTGCTTTTGGTTTCTGGCGACACTTCCAAAATGGTACATTCCTTCTCCTACAGCCATTAAATGCTAATCAGTTTCACTTTCATAAATAAATGAGGAAAAAATTCGGGTTTTTTTCAGTTGTGGGACTCCAAATGTAGGCTTCTATGCTGTGCTTAGGTATTGCAGTGGGAGACTTGCCCTGCTTCTTAGAGAGCTGCTCAGAGAGGTTGATTATTCTTGAAAGCCCAACTTTTAATTTAGATATTTAAATACAGATTCTAAGAACTGAATTTTGGACTTCTGTTGTCAGTGTTGGCCTCTTTTACTTTCTGAGTGAAGGTTGGAAGGCGTTTACAGCAGCAATTATTGGACCTTCTGAACTTTAACAAAGATCTAACTGTTCACCCAGGAGCTCTAGATGTTCCTTACTAAATTGTTCTCATTTGAGTGAGAGTAAGGATTCTTTGTCCTGTAAATTTAATTTCTAAAGAGGAACTATCACTCACATGCCGAAGACAAATATAATGAAAGACAGTTTCATTGGTAATTTAAAAACACTGTAAAAAGGTCCTGTTGTTTAAAAGTGCCCATGTTTTCCTGATGCCTCCAGCTTCTGGAGTGTTCATACTGGAAATTACTGCTGCCCAAAGACATTAATTGAGTTTGTAATACTGTCTTATGGTCTATCTCCATTGTAATGGAGAAGGATAAATGTTTTAGATAGTACTGCAAAGCAGAAATCTGGTGTGGAGGAACTCAGAGGTCTGGATTTGAGACATTTAAGATCTCTTTGTAGTACCTTTGCACTCATTCCATACAGCAGAGACCTTCCCAGGAAGAGCACCCCAGAATATGATTCCAAATGTAAAATTCAGATGTTGGAAAGATTTGTAGAAAAACAGTAACAAAAATGAGCCTATAGAAGTAGGCTGTTTAGTCCTTGCTGAACTGAATCTAATAAACCTTTCGCCTTTTATTATATTTGGCTCGTTGTGCTTGCAGTTCTGTTTGGGATTGAATTATATTAAGGTAGTATAGTTGAGAGAAATTAGATTACCCAGAAATAAAACAGGCTGAATGCAGGAGATAGAAGGGCAACATGTACTTCATTGAAAAAGTACAAGGAAGGTCAGAGAGTACCCTCAGATGAGACATGTGAGTTAAATAAAGATGTCCAAAGGGAGACTGAAAACATCTGAGAATCATTCTGATTTCTTTCAGCAACAGTATTCTCAAATATTCTCTCTGGTTATTATCTAACTTGGATTATTTTTAAGTGATTCCTTTGAGGCTGTGCTGGATTCAGTTGTAGGGAGCACAGAAGGTACAATATCTTTCACTGACTCCAGGCTCCCTCAATTCCAGACAAGCATGTAATAGATGCTTCACTCGGGTCCATGGAACATCTGTTCCGTCTCTGCTACCAAAACACCTTCAGTCTCTTATTTAAAAATGAAATAAAATTAACAAAAAAAATCAAGAAAGCAACAACTAAAAAATGCTAACATAAAAGCCAAAGCATTGATGACATTCTATGAGAAGACAGTGGAAGAGACCAAAGTATTGCTAATATTTTCATCTCTGCAGTATGAGGGAGTTAGGTGAAATGTGCCTGGATGAACAAGCAAGTCTCAACCAGTATTGTGAAGGCAGAAGTCACAAACTGTCAATAGTCCTTGTCAGTATATACTGGAGGAAATTTCCTTCCTAATCCAGGTATGCTCTGTCTGCCATAAACATCTCTGATTTGCTGGCTATTTGGACTAGGTTTCTGACTGGAAGATGAGAGTAGGAGATTGAGGAAGATCAAGGACCCAGAGTATGCCAGTGATTCCCACTCTGCTATTGCGATGGTTGGTAACGGGCTTGTATGAATATGGTATCTTATAGAGCAACAAGAAGTCTCCAAAGCAAAGATAATTTGTATTTGCTGCCAGGACAGGCCTTTGAGCCAATTCCAGTTTGAATTCAGAGGAGTCCTTGCAGACTACTTGATGTTCTGGTGTTGACACCAAGCGCATTCCCTGGTATTGTAGTGTGGAAGAGATTTGAATGTAAATCAGCCCTTTCTGTATCATTCCATGTGGTTTTCTAAGGGGCTAGAAGCAACTCTGAATGTTAGGAACTTCTTTTGGGCCCTCAGGGGTCCATGGCACTGTACAGTCAGAGAAGAAGAGGCTCTGGGGAGACCTTATTGGCAGCCTTCCAGTACTTAAAGGGGGCCTACAAGAAAGCTGGAGAGGGACTGTTTATAGGGCATGGAGTAATAGGACAAGGAGTAATGGCTTTAAGCTGAAGGAGGGGAGATTTAGATTAGATATGAGGAAAAAATTCTTCACTGTGAGGGTAGTGAGGCACTGGAACAGCTTGCCCAGAGAAGTTGTGGATGCCCCCTCCCTGGAACTGTTCCAGGCCAGGCTGGATGGGGCTTTGGGCAACATGGTCTAGCAGAGGGTGTCCCTGCCCATGGCAGGGGGGGTTGGAACTTGATGTTCTTTAAGGTCCCTTCCAACCCAAATCTTTCTGTGCTTCTATGAAATACTGATAAAGAGCAACACCTATGAAGCCAAGAACACTCCACCCTATGGTTTGCTTTTCCATTGGACGAGTAAAGGGGATTGGAATGTTGGCAAAGCTTTTTTGCTGAAGACCACTCCTGTGGCCTAACCATCTTCTATGTGATCATTTCTTTTCCAGTCTCTCTACAAGTGGACATTGTTCCAAGCCAGGGGGAGATCAGCGTTGGAGAATCTAAGTTCTTCTTATGTCAAGGTGAGTGATGGCTTATGGCATCAGTTGTCTTGATTTGGGTTTGCTGCGAAGGTCAATCAGTGCATTAACTGGGATAAAAGCTCCAGTGCAGGTCTAGCTGCAAGATCTTTTGCTTGCTTTCTTATGTGCCCTTATGGTTTATAAGACTGCATAGCACAGGCAACACATGGTGTTTACTGGAAACAGTAAATGCATGCTCTCTTGAGAGCTGGCAACCGAAAGCTCCAGCAAACAGATTTTAAAATGAAAAAACAGGTACTGAAGTGTTGTTTTTAAGCTTGAGCAATAACCGCAATAACCACAACAATGGCATCTTCCATCTTTCCGCAGTTCTTTGATCTTTTGAATTTAGAATGAAGCCTGTTGTTTTTCCAAATTATTTCTCTAATCAACTGCTAACAGCAGTAATGGGAATGCTATGTGACTTGAGAGTTGTTACCTCTGCAACTAAGGATTTTAATGCTGCTAAAAGCTTGCATTTCTTATGATGCAATTTACTGTTTGTTCAGGCCACAAAATGCCTCAGGCTGTTCTCCTGCACAGTGTGGTGTACTGCTGACATAAACCATGTGCCCCAAAGCAGGTCCTACAATTTTATGGCATTTTCCAAATTAGCATCCACGTGTCCTCTTCAGAGATTCTCCTGAAAGCAGCTGGCCTACTTTCTAATGGGAGGAATTAGTATCTTGGAGCACTGATGTGATAGCATCCTGAAGCATGACACAGAGCAAATAGGTGCTATAGTGAGCTCTGGGAGCAAACTGCCATCAGAGCACCACGCTTCCTCAGGAGCATACTGACTGGGACTAGTCATCTGATCCAGGAGTGCTGAACTGCAGAGTAATTTGTTAATGCCAGTGCTTTAAAAATGAAAGTATACTGTGAGCAACTGCTGTTGTGATGATATTTGTATTCAGAAAACCGTGGGATCAATTAAAGCCCCTCCAATAATAGGAGTTCGTCCCAAACAACAAAGCCACACTGAGGAATACAGGGATGTGAGCTGCGAGAAAGAGACTGCCTGGAACCACTTAGTAACAGTTCTGAGTTACACTGGATGCAGCAGGAGGTTTAAGCTGATCGATGCCAGAACTGCTGCTATAGCAATGTCACCATTTTGGTATGCGAGGTAGCTGAGCCTGTAAATATGGGTATTTATTGAAAACATGATGGAGCTGAATCAGGAAGAGATTTTTATTTGTCAGGCTGATCTGCAGAGTGGAGGGACTGGGACATGGGATCCCAGGATGCATAGAAGGCTCTTCTGGGCTAAAATGAGTGTACCCCTTTAGATTCTAAAACCAACCTAATATCATTTTTGCAGGACAGCAGCTGACCGCTCACAGCGCTGTGAGACAGAATTTTCTTTGCTTGCTTCTCAGGTACCAGAAGCCCTTCCCCTGGGTCAGTCTTCTGCGTAGTGCTACTGGTTGTATTTAATTCCCTTTGTGCAGAGCTGTTGGGAACTCATTTCAATTTGCTCTGTTTTCTTTTATTGTCTACAGTGGCAGGGGAGGCCAAATACAAAGACATTTCCTGGTTTTCCCCTAACGGTGAGAAGCTGACGCCGAACCAACAGCGCATCTCAGTGGTGCGAAATGATGACTTCTCCTCCACCCTCACCATCTACAACGCCAACATTGATGATGCTGGCATCTACAAATGTGTTGTCAGTAGCGTGGAGCAGGGAGACTCCGAGGCCACCGTCAATGTGAAAATTTTCCGTAAGAGAGAGGCTCCAAGGCTATTTTCTGGTCTACCTTGCACATGTATGAGGCAACATTAGGGAGGCAACCATTTTATCTTCCTAGAAAAGGCTATTTTTACAGAGGAAGAAGGAGGGTGAAAAGAAAGGGAATGTTAAGAAGATGCAGTCTTCTCCTTTCTTGATTTTGAGGGGAAGGTGGGAACTAGGAACTGACGGGGCATTACCAGCATGTCTACTGCTTAAATTCTTCTCTAGCGCATCATAAATGTCAGGGGGGAGTAAGCAGAGAGAACAGCTTTTGTGGATGGCAGACATGCTATGAGATAAGACTAGTCTTCAGTAAAGAGGATCACACATTCAGAAGAGTTATAATAAGCCGTCAGCATGTTCTCCAGCTGAGCCATGATAGCAGCTCTTCCCCTTCCTGCTGCGAAGCTAGGCAGTTCCAAGTTCACATTTTCTCTGCAGTGTGGACAAATTGGTGAGCTATGCAGAGCATTGATTTGGCCCACCGATATGCCTGGGAGGCAGGGCTGGAAAATGGGGTTCCTGTGTTGCAGTGCATGGAGTCAGGCACACCTTTATCCTCCCCTTGGGAACATGAGGATTTCTAGACAACACGTCCTCTGGGGTTTCTTTGCTTTCCTTAGGCTTGAGTCAGGAGCATAGCTTGAGGTGTGCCAAGAAAGCTGCAGTGACTTTCTCTTATCCATTGTTTTCAGAAAAGCTGATGTTCAAGAATGCTCCCACTCCTCAGGAATTCAAGGAAGGGGATGATGCTGTGATTGTGTGTGATGTGGTCAGCTCACTGCCTCCTACCATCATCTGGAAGCACAAAGGCAGGGATGTTATCCTAAAAAAAGATGGTAAGACACAAGAGGTGTCTTGGTGCTTGTCCATTCGGTGGTCAAATGTCCATCTCCCATCAGGGCTCAAATCAGGCTCATAAAAGGGGTTCAGGAGAACAAAATGGTGATGGTCACAAGGGAGGAGAGAAGCAATTTGTACCTAACACTAGGTCTTAGGATGTAAATTTAGTTTTTCAAGGTGCTGTAGTTTGGCAGTGGCAGGACAATAATGTTCCCAGAGAAATGGCCATCAGGCTTTCACACTGGAATAGGCCAAGGAATGCTAGGAAAAATCTTCAGCTAACAGAAATGTCATCAGACAGAAAACCTGCATGTTGTGCACTCTCCAGTCTTCCTAAGGAAAAGGGGCTAAAAGCTCCTGCAAGAACCTTTCCTTTTATTTCAAAATAACTGCAGATGGTCATACCCAGAGGGGCATTTTACTGGCAGAGGGTACTCCAGAGCCCTGACTCCAGTGGAGCATTCATGCCTCAGCTGTGTTTCCCACAGCTGCTTGTTGCAGGCACAGGGGAACTGTAGTAAGACTTGAACTTTGCCACCCTTGGACAAGAGGGGCAAGTTTCAAATTGCTTGTTGTCTAATACTAATTAAATGTAAATGTGTTTGTGTATATTTATTTGTTTATATCTCTGTGTGTACTTATGGTATAAAGCACCAGAGCAGTTTGTCTGCTACCCACATCTGGTTTCTTTCATGGCAATGTCAGATCCAGGTACAGCAGCAACTCCGTTAAATGATGGGAAGGGAAATTTTATTACACTAAGCCTTGTCTCAACCCAGAAAGGGCAAGGAGAGGAGAAGACCCTGTTACCTGCAGCGAGCTTTCCTGAGGATCCTTGGATGAACTTTCCTTTTGTCTCTTCTAGTTCGATTTATAGTCCTGTCCAACAACTACCTGCAGATCCGGGGAATCAAGAAAACAGACGAAGGGACATACCGCTGTGAGGGCCGGATCTTGGCTCGTGGGGAGATCAACTTCAAAGATATTCAAGTCATTGTAAACGGTGAGCAGCTTAGAAGAAGGCTAGTACAGGGGCAGGAGGTGTAGCACCTGTACTCCAGGTTGCTGATGGCAATGTTACTTTAGATTCACACAATTTACCATGAGCTTGCTGATGTTTTTCTGCTGTATCAAATAAAAATTTCCATGAAATTGAGTATTTACCAGATGTTTACAGAAAATTGTCATGTCAAGAGAAACCTTGAGTGTCTCATGTGAGGTATTGACCTGGTTGGAACTCACAAGTGGTTTGTCCACAATACTGATTTTATATGTGTCTCGCCACCCCGTGCCCTTCCTTCCCTGTGCTGATTGCTTTGGAGAGCTCATGCATCAAACCTGTTCGTTGAAACCTGCAGGTGATGGCATAAGGGTTTTAATTACTAGTGACATCTTTGTGTGTTGCAGAGATTTACAGTGAGCCTTCCAGGGCTCATTCTCGTTCACATCTTCTTTCCTATCTAACTTGAATGTGGATTCCTTCTCTTCTAGTACCTCCTTCTGTGCGCGCCAGGCAGAGCACTATGAATGCCACTGCCAACCTCAGCCAGTCTGTCACCTTAGCATGTGATGCTGATGGCTTTCCTGAGCCAACTATGACGTGGACAAAGTAAGATGCTGTGTGCAATGTCCTGATTGTGTGTGAGCATGGATGTTTTCCCCAAGGCCTGGAAAACCAGGCTGGAGGGAAATCAACATTTTAACTGGAACAAGATTAATTCATTTTTCTCACAAAAGAATGAATGGTCTCATAACGGAGTTGCAGTTAGCTTCTGTTGCGGGTTAACCCCAGCAGGCAGCTAAGCACCACGCAGCCACTCACTACACGCCCCCCAAGGGGAACAGGATCAGAAGGGTAAAATCCAAAAACTTGTTGGCTGAGATAAAGACAGTTTAATAGGTAAAGCTGTGCATGCAAGCAAAGCAAAATAAGGAATTCATTCCCTACTTCCCATTGGCAGGCGGGTGTTTAGCCAGGTCAGCTGTCTCAGCTGTATCTCCTGCCAACTTCTTGTGCACCCCCTGCCTAGTTGCTGACAGGGAAGTGTTAGAAACAGAAAACTCTTTGACATTTCGTGGATACTGTTCAGCAATAGCTAAAACATGATTGTGTTATCAACACTGTTTTGATCACAAACCCAAAACATAGCACCATATGAGCTACTATGGAGAAAATTATCCCAGCCAAAACCAGTACAGCTTCCTCAAAGAACAAAAATAACAATAAAGATAGTAATTTTCACTAACCTGTCACATCCTTTTGTCAAGCTGCAAATCAAGGTGAAGCTTCATGCTGACCAGACCTGTCCCATGGGTCAGTTTATTATCATCTGTTGCACCGGTGGGAAAACTTAGGCAAAAATGGATGCTGTAACTTGCATTTGTCATGCCAAGAGATCTGCATCTAAATCTTTCTCTTCATCGGGTCTAAATTTCACTGTCAGGCAGTGATACAGCTGTCAGGTATACTGTTCTTGAAATTGTGTAGCCTTTGGTGAAGGTTATGAGGACAAGTTGTAATGTTGAAAAAGCTTATGACAACTTGGAATACTGCCTTGATAGGCAAGGACAGAAGCCACCTTCAGTGGTGTTTATAGCTCTTGCATATAGGCTATGATGTGTGTCAGGAGGTGAAAGGTTCAGCTGCCAAGAGCCCTAAGGCAGGAGGGATTAGGAATAGATCAAAATAAAAGCTTTGTAGCCCATAGGGAGAGAAAAAGGTGGTGGTCCCTCTCAATCCAAGGGGTTTCAGTGTAGTAACGCAGTTCTACCATTTACACAAGCCAAAAACAAATAGCCTTTGATTGCTTCTCCTTCGCAACACAACCAGTGTGCTTTGTGCCTTGCAGGGATGGAGACCCAATAGAACAGGCTGATGATGAAGAGAAATACAGTTTTAACTACGACGGCTCTGAGCTCATCATCAAGAAGGTGGATAAGAGTGACGAAGCAGAGTACATCTGCATTGCTGAGAACAAGGCTGGCGAGCAGGATGCCACCATTCATCTCAAAGTCTTTGGTAAACATGCTCTTACTGTCCCTGCTTTCCAATCCAGTTGGCTACTGGTAGCTTACTAGTGCAAACTAAAAGTAATCTACTTATCACTGTTAATGCCAGATGTGGCTTATCCACAGCAGCTTCTTTCCCAAGTAATGCTGTGCACCTCTGCCATCATGCTAGGCTAGATTCTGTGTATGTGTCTGAAACAGATGCCAGCTCCATTTTGCTCCCTCTCTGATAAAAGAAATTCAATCCTGTGCAAGGAGTCGTGTTGAGATTCACATGCTACTTGAAATATCTTCTGGCCCCAGAGGGCTGAATCCTAATTCAACCAAAGCTGTGATTAAAAAGGCTTTAGCACTTTGGTGGGACTTGCTATAACCTGGACAGGGAGGTGAACTCCACCCCACCACTATGTGAATGACCTCAAGTTCGCAGGAATGAATCAGCAGCTTTCCTGTTCTGTGAATCTGGGAGTGTTAAGGAATATAATTCTCTGTGTCCCATCCCCCTGCAGCCACTTGACAAAGCTGCTTATCAAAAGGCTAATTTGGGGCAGAGAAAGTAGATGGCAAGGTAGAAGACTTAGCTGATAATCCTAGGGACTGGTCATTTGTACACTCTTAAATGGGTTCTACTTCAGATATGCCCTCTTCTGGTCCTCTCTTTACAAGCCTCAGCTGGTAAGCATGTGTAGAAAAGGTCTTCTAGTTCTGCAAGCAGGTACCTTCTTCTCAAATGTCACTCTTCTCCCTTCCCCATATGGCAGTAAAGTTGTGACAATTCAAAAGCCTTTTTTTCCCCAATGATGCTTGTTTCAGACATTGCTGTTGACAGGCGAGCTTCATTCTGAGCACCAACTGAATGAAGGCTGCTTTTTCTTTTCAGCAAAACCCAAAATAACCTATGTGGAGAATAAAACAGCCATGGAGCTGGAGGATCAGATTACACTGACCTGTGAGGCATCTGGAGACCCAATCCCTTCCATCACTTGGAGAACTTCCACCCGGAACATCAGCAATGAAGAGAAGGTATAACCCTTCCCAAAACCATAGTCTTATTTGCTGGGATCAGTGTGGCTTGTATCTGCCTGCCTCTGCTGATCGAGAATGCATGATAGCCGCACACGGATGCACGTGGAAATCACGGTGATTCCCCTCTCTGTAGTGAGAACACGTGCATTCCTATACAGACTATCTGCTAAAGCGTCAATTCCACAGCTGAAGTCATACCATAGGTGTCCTTTTGTACAAAGAGCCATCTCAGTTTATAACAACTGAGGATATGCTATTTAATTCCTG